ATATATGACAAAGGGCATAAAAATATAAGATTTATACTTATGTTTTTTTAGTTGGCTTAAAATTCTAGGAACCTAATTTAGCAAAAGCTAATTGGTTCATTAACGGTGTCCAAAGGTAACAAAAAGTCTAATCTGCAAAATGAGATGCTAGTTCCACTATTAGCGTACGAGCAAAACTGTGCCCAACGCTGCTTAAATGTAAACACAGACATATTTGCCAGAAAAGACACAATTATTTCAGATACATCTGTTATATAAAATCTGTCAACATTTAATACAATCCCCCAAATAAGTGGATGATTTTTGCAGTAAAACTTTTGACACTGTACACACTTTCTAAATAATATTATTACAGTAAAAAACACCATATATGTTTTACCAAAGACTACCATTTAGTAAAAATACCCATGATCACTCAACAAGACACGTGGTTGAACTATGTTTCACTTTACCAAAATGTAGAACTAGTTCTAGCCAACATATAGTGATGTTTAGAGCAATGCATGAATGAAATTCACAACCGCATAGCATTAAACAAAGTACTGCTAACAGTTTTAGGAAGCAACTAAAAACTTACTATAAAATAATTTTATCTTTTGGATGGATAAATGTGCGTGTTTATGAATGTTGCGATGTTATTATAAATGTAGAGATACTATTGTGTTTTCATGTATTAAATATAAATGTAGAGATGCCATTGTTTTTATGTATTAGAGTACCATAGTATCTAGGACTAAGTAGATGAAGTTTGTGAATTTTTGTTTTTGTAAGAGAAATTTAAAATATTTCCCTGTTTAAAGCTAAGGTTTGTGTTTTCTTTGAGATGCTGAAAGGTGGAATGTGTTGTTTTAATGTTTTATCTGTAGTGTGATTTCGTAAATGTGATTTGTCTTTTTTTAAATTGACCCCAGGAAGAATAGCTGATGCAGCATGCTGCTGATGCTAATGGGGATCAAACAAACAAACAAACAAACAAATAAACAAACAAACAAACAAACAAACAAACAAACAAACAAACAAACAAAACAAACAAACAAACATCCATACTGTAAATATTTAATAATGGTTTACTAAATCTGCTGTCTATTGCATGTGAAAGGACGAAGCACAGTTGGATTTGTGTGTGTTTGAGTGTGTGTATGTGTGTGTGTG